CCTAACCACCACTCGTCGCCAAAAAAAAAAAAAAAAATCAAATAAAAAAGAATAAAGTCAAGGTAAGGTCAAGGCAGCAGGCAGTCGGATTTATTGGTCAGGACAAAATAATGTCGCATTTCCTTGGCAATTACCTCACGCAGCGAATCTTGAGAAATTTTGCTGGCAATTGAATGCCGGATTAAGAAATCAGCCCATTTTGTAAGAAATAATATGAAAATGTTGAATTAAGAGAGCAACCATTAGAAGTGACAAATCATAATTAAAATTTAATGCTCAAAGAAATGCCAAACAACATGCCAACTAAAAATAGTACCATGCATTTTTTTAATGGTTAACTTTCGTTTGACATCTGATATTGAATAAGGCGGTGTTTGGTTGAATACTATGATGGATATGAAGCACATCAATGACATAATAAATAATTCAAATTCAGTCTCTCATTCAAATTTATTAAATCTAGACTTAAGTCATAATAGAGATGAAACGTGACAGAAAGTGAACGCAGTGCCCAGGATTTAAGTTAGGTTTTTCTGGTGTTTTGATTGGATTTAAGTTAAGTCTGTTCTCAAATCTTGTTAATTGCATGTTACCAAACACCGCCAAAAAATATTTGTGAGTTATATTTCCACTGCATTTAGGTTTGTCCGTAATTCACGCCTAAGAAATAACGTGTTTGAGATAAGAAGCTACAAGAATACAATATTTTGTATGAGATTTTTTCCTCTTCGTGTTACATTTACTCTTTACATATTTATAGATGACCTATTTCTATTTGTGAAATATCTACGATGCCTCTGACATATTTCATTTTGATTGGATCTCATTGTCATTTCTAAAAGGTTTGTTGCCCTTGCAGAGTGAGTCTCTGACAATCTCATTTTTCTTGTAACAGTTATCTCCTGGTTCGACTGATTTTAGACCGGTCAACTTTTTGTCTGACGGTTTCTTCGACTGTTCATCCGAATAGTCATCTCTCCTTCGAACCTTAGCTATTCGGATTGACATGCCTTGAGCTCCTCAGAAAAATCGGTTTTCTAACACGTGTCTAATTCAAGGCCACTTGATTCGGTCAAACATATTCATTTAATACAATTTCATGCTAAAATATTCACCGTACTAACAAAATATAAAATCTTAATTTTATTAAAACATACACATAGCACATGCCGATGAAAAAAAGTTAACATATTAAAGTTCTTCACTTAAAATTTATGAAAGCTAAAGTTTAAAGGGTTTGATGCCGGAGAAATAATCCATTATATAAAAATGATTATAAGAATGTGTGATTCATCTACTTTCCCTTTATAGTTTCTTATGCATATGATTCATTGTATAAATCTTATAGGACTTTGTGGATAGATGAATTTTGTTTCAAGTGCTACGTTAATACTCTAGAGATTGGGCCATACATTTGACCCATACGATGGGTCAGGTAGACCTGGTGGCAAGAGGAAATAATTATATTGTTCTCCGTTAAAAACTGACCGAAGGATTTTATTTCAAGATTAAATATCCCTTAATTCCTATATATTTATATGTGTGAACTTGCACACATCAAAGTAATGTCCACTTTGATCTTGTGGCCTCACAATTTTGTCATATTGGTGTAACTTACCACAATATCATCTATCCTAGGAGCGCTCTCATGCTAGGATGCTTAACACGGATATTTCTAATGAAATTCCACTGTTATATCAAAAGACACATTGATGTTTAAAAGTTCGGGTGCATTCTACTTAAAGAGCCTCACATTAAATAGCTGACTCCTAAACTTTAATTTCTTTATATATGTCACCTTATTTGTGCATAAAAATATGTATTTCTATTGTTAAAAGTAATATATATATATATATATATATATATATTATATATATATATATGTAATATAAAATATTTAGTTGGTATAAATTTAAAAAGAAAAATTAAGTATGACCCTAAGAAGTTGCATATCTAATACTTAAATATTAATTTTTATATTTATAGTATTTTGTTTATGTACATAAAATATATATTCCATATTTTAAAAGTTAAAATAATGTTATTCTTAGATGTGAAAAGAAAGTTTTGGGTGACATAAAAATAGAAAATTAAGTTTAGATATTAGATTTGTAAATTCATAAAAATTGGGTGGTATACATGGAAATGCTTAAAAATATCATTTTATAAAACTTATTTTATAACTACAGAGAAGAGCATGAGTATTAAAAATAATTAAAAAAAAACATAAATTTTTGCTTTAATTAATATAAGGTTATTTTAAAGAACATTAATATTTCATTAATTTTAGAAGAAAATTTATTAAATTTGATAATTCATTGTAATAACATTTTTCTATTGGACTCCCTTGTAAGAATTTAGCCAAAACGTTACTATAGGGCTTAGCCTACTTTAGTGAAGTCAATGGAATGGATCAATTTGTTGCCATTTGCCAGCAAATGGCCAGCTTCATGAATTTCATATTGGATTGTTATATTTACTCAATTGCATAGTCTATTGGTTAGAAATAAAATGAATAATATAAAAAAAAAATTAGGGTCAAATTTTCACCTTATTTAAAAACAAAAGGGCTCGATTTTTAAATGCCATGCATCTTTCTGTTTCCTATTATACGGTTGAGTGCAGCTAACCAATCTCTACCCGCCTACATCAAAGAAAACATTCAACTCTACCTACTAGATTATGTAAATGATGTCCTACTAATAGGAAACTTCTACCATACCATCAACAACCTCTTGACTAAGCTAAGCCAAAAATTCAACCCGAAACAATTAGGACACATATCTAATTTTCTAGTCCTTTAAGTACACCGTAGATCCAATGTTGCTTTCTAAACCAACACTCATACAGGCCTCATATCATATAAACAAAAGAGATGCCAAACTACAAATCCATCCTTACACCTTTAACCATAAAACCTCAAACATCAGACTAACAATAACTCCCATTTGAAGACCCCCACTACTGCAAACATATAATGACTCATTACAAAACTAGACCTGACATCACATTTACCATTAATCTCTTCAACCAACACATGCATCATCCTCTTATCACTCATTACCAAATGACTTTTACACCACATTAATGGGATAACTGACCATGATTATTACTCACAAAAAGCACTTCGACACTCCATACTTATATATACTCTGACTGAGCAAGAAACACCTTAGACATAAAACCTCCAATATCGTTGTCTGGTAAGCCAAAAAACAATTTACGGTTGCATAATATTCAACATAAGTTGAATACAAGGCATTGGCTACATCTAAGTCTGAAGTCCTATGGCTTTGCCACTTTCTACAAGATTTCAATATACCCCGCAACTCTCCAACAACCAACTACTGTGACTACATTTCGACAATCACTCTAGCTAATAACCTCATTTTTCACGTGCGAATGAAACACACTCAAGTGGACTAACACTTCATTAGAGATCACATAAAAATAAGTGACATCAAAGTACAGTATCATAATTATAAAATAAGATCAAATGGTGGATATACTCACCAAACCCCTTCCGGCCAGTCAGCATCAATTCCTATAATAAAGCTAGAAGTCCAAAATGTAGATTCATAGGATTTTCGATTCGCAAGGGGGTAACAATAGCAAAAGACATCCTACATTAACACATGGCCCAAATGAGAAAGGCAAGATAACTTACCTCATCACATAGATCTCACATCCCCTATAAATACCTTCACCATACAATATCAAAGTAAAACTACCAAATTTAGTTTACACCATCAAATTGATCAATGTATTTACTAAACTAGCCTCAACGTGTCTATATATATCTATCACTTAACAATATATACTTGTGTGTGGGAAAAGAGTATACTTTCAATTCTCCACATCTTTCCCTTTTTTGTTATATTTCTCTATAATAGACAAATAGATATAGAAGAATAGCTGGAGAAAAAAATATAATATGGAGAGAAAAATTTTGAAAAATCTAAAAAACCTTTTCAAATTTTCTAAATATGAAATGACTTATAATCTAAATTTATGTCATGAATTTTCACTAGAGTCATCTAAATCTGGTAGCTAAAATATTTATATTGATTTTTTATTTTTTATTTACCTTATGTTTAGATAGCATTACTTTAAATTCATTCACTTCTGATGTGTGTGCGTGTGTGTATTCTTAATATAAATATTTAGCTATTAATGGATAATTTATATGTGTCACAATGTTATTAAATAATTTCCTCTAAGTCTATAAAAAATCATTTTATGTTAACAAATAAGTTATATAAATACGTTCTAACAAAAAGTTATTCATCTTTGTTCTTCAAAGAGATAAGTTAAATATTTTATGTTTTTAAGAAAATAATATTCGCATATAAATATTTTTAATCATAAATTATATTCAAAACAAGAAAGAAGTAAGGAATTATATATACATATATATATATATATATATATATATATATATAGAGAGAGAGAGAGAGAGAGAGAGAGAGAGAGAGAGAGAGAGAATATTTTATTTATATGAGCAACTATTTGTAGAAGGTTAAGCAGGGGAGTTTCTAGCTTCATATATGTTTGATAAAAGGTCCCAACTAATTGTAACTTACCATCTATTCTAATCAAATTGATATTTACTTTTAGAATTTAGAAGTACTTACATTAAATGAAATTTTTTTTATCATATGCTAAATAATCTTTAGATTAATTTCAATGAATTGATTTCAAAAACTAATGTAGAAAAGCAGCATTAATAATGAGTGATCTCACAAATCATCTATTCCTATATCAAGTTGATCAAGAATCAAGACTTCATAAAGTAACAATCATATTAAATTACCTATTTTATTTTGTAAGTTCAATATTCTTACATGGAAAATGGCAAAATAAAAATTAACGGTCGAGTATTAACCTGCGCCGATATCAAAAGCTTTTTCTAATTCCCATTATACCCTTCCCAAGATTCCAAGCCGATTTCAAAAAAAAAAAATCGACCGTTGCCTTCTATCCTGCTCCCTTCACCCGAAAATCCCTATATCCTTCAGAAAAGGAGTATTCTCTCCTCAACAAAAAATATTTTCCTCAATAATGGCTGAAGGTGGAGAAATTACAAGCCCTGCCATTCTTCATAAACGCCTTAAGAGATCTCTTCGATCCATGGAAACAGAAACAAATGAGAGCATTCTGAGCCCTAGGTTTAGGTCGGCGGCAGCCATGGCTGGCTGGGATGAAGAAGCTATTCTCTTCGCCACTCTAGTCGTTGAGGACACTCCAGAAAGAGAATCCTCACGCCGAAAGCGTTCTAGAAATCAACCAAAGTCGTCGAGTTCCTCCAGTTCCAATAGGTCGCCATGGATGCCTTTGCTTGTCTTCTCTTTATTTTATTTTAGCATAATCCTTTTGATTAATTTTTTTGTGCTGATTTATGTAAAGGAAACGGAGATCTAGACGGCAGCCTGTAGATCCGGTTCCAGCCGTTGTTCTTTGCTTGGATGATGATGATGATGATGATGATAAGGGTTTTTCTCGTCAAGGTTTCTTCCATCTTGTTCTTCTTTTGTCATTTTGGGCGTATTTATGGTAAAACACCAAAGAAATATACATTTGGAGGTGTTTGGTAGCGCTTTGGCTGTGGGTTTAACTTAAATCCAGCAAAAAATAGAAAATAAAAAGGGGAAACGAAATCCGGATTTCGGGTACCTCCTGTTCCATCTTCCTGATAGCCGTTTCTTCTTCTGCACGCCGCTTCCGTCTTCAAATCAAAATTTCACAAATCCCACAGAAATATGGATTTAATGGATTTTGATTGCCGTTGCTTGCACCATCGCCTCCATCACGAGCCTCAAATTAAATCCGGGTTTCATAAATCCTATTAACGTAAATCTGATCCTGCAGCCAAACATCACTTTACTGTTATTTCATTCAATAACTCTTACACTGACTTATATATCATTTAGTGACAGCTTAAATCTGATATTAGTTAATAATTTATAGTAAGGGGGTGTTTGGTAGCGTAATTTCAAGTCCGGTGCCCCGTTAAATCCATTTTTCTATCCCCTATGTTTATTTTTTTATATAAATCTAGTATGCTAAATCAAACTGTTTGATGGATTTGACGTATTTAACTTGGGAAGAAAGCAATAACAATAAGAACCTGAAATAAAATGTCAAACATGTCTAACAATTTTAACTGGATTTAACTTCATCTGAACCAAACACTATTCTAGATTTAACATCGTATGTGTTTGATAAATCCTATTAAACATAAATCAGGAGCGCAGCCAAAAGATAGATCTTATAATTTCTTTATTTCCCTTATTATTCATGCAAGTTGATTAAAATTAAAGTGCACACTTCTTCTGGACAAATTTGAGTTACTATTCATTAAGACTAAAAACATGGTCCCAAAAATGAAAATCTCAATATGAAACATCATTTATAGTAAATACTGCGCATCTTTTACAGTTTTCTCGCAAGTACTTTTATCAATAATGCTTCATTCTTATTGCTCTGTCTGTGTTAATTAACATTAAAAAATAAACTTACAGGAATGTGGCGATGCTAATGAAAATCATATATAAAAAGATTCTAGTTAATTATTCGTTAATCTTTTAACTTAAAGTGAATTGATAACTTCTTATGATTTTCACATGCTTATTGCATTCTATATAGAATGGAATAGTATTCTTAACTGCTTTCAATTAATTAGAATGGGGTAAACCAGTAATAGTTAATAGAATGGTTTGGCGTGCTATTAGTTAATAATATTTAATGATGGCTAGAAAATGCTAGAATTATGTTGAGATAATTATAAAATTATATTTTTCCTTGGTTGATGGCTCAGTTTTAGATTTTTCTGTAAATCCACAGATGTCGAGATGAAGGGAAAACGTTCATCTTGCCTTGCATCTGGTAATGAAAAGAAAGGAGAGGGAGAAGGAGAAGAAGCAACAGCTAAGATCAACTGTAAACAAGGGCTTCCATATATGGATAAGCTAAAGGAGGAACTCTCCTGCGCTGTACTGCTCTGAAATGCCCCCTTCTTAACGGTCGATTTTTTTTTTTTTTTAAATTTCTGATTTCATCTATGTACTGAACCCTTAAAATGCTGCAGATTTGTTTGGAGATTTGCTATGAACCGAGCACCACTCTTTGTGGTCACAGGTGCGATCAAATTAATGAGATATACATGTCTTCAATTTCAAATAAATCCTTTTTTCTCAAACAATGGTTGATTGTAATTTTTTGCAGTTTTTGCAAGAAATGCTTGAAATGTGCTGCTGATAAATGTGGAAAGAAATGCCCAAAGTGCAGGCAACTCATAAGGTAAAGTGCATATTGAGCTCGGCACAAGAAAAAATAATGGTCTTATTAAATTTCCTGTAGTTTGTCACTTTTGTGAAGAAGGATAAGATGAAAATGTCACATTGGCGGTACACTCCTACCATGCAGGTTATGTTGAAAGTATGTTAACTTGTTTTTTAGTCTAAAAAAGAAAGGACTAAATATAAATAATAATGAAAATAAGCATGAAAAAATAATATTTATTTCATTTTATAAATAGAAGTCATACAGTTGATACAACTGGAAATTCACTTGAATGCTACTCATTTACTGGAAATTCTTATGCAGCAATACAAGATCATGCACAGTGAACACAGTTCTCTGGAACACCATTCAGCTCTTATTTCCTGAAGAAGTGGAGCAGAGGAAGAAGGCGGCGGCTGTGGAATCTTCTTCTAGAGCGAAAGCTTCAAGCCATGGCATGGAACTCGGAGGAACACAAAGGCAAGCAAGAAGCAGAAATTTGCACATGCCAACTAGTACTTTCAGAAGCGCCATGGAAGTTCTAGGAACAGAAGAAGGTGATAGGAGAAGTGTAAGAAGATTGAATCCAAGTCAGTCAGTGGATGCTGCTTTGGCTCTTAGGTTGCAGAGAGAAGAATTATTGCAAGCATTCAGGAATTCGAGTGAGCAGCAGAGGAACTCTTTTTATAATAGTACAAGAGCAAGGCTGAGATCAATGGCCTTGGGAGTCCACAGAATGAGAAACAGAAGCTAGCTTTAGTAGCTTTTAAGAATGAGATTATTGTGGGTGAATTTTGTGGGCTCGTTTGATTGAAAAAGGGAAAAACTGGCATTACTGACTTGAATTTGATAGTTGCTGGTTAATTATTCATAGTTAGTACTGTATGCATTGTTGTCTTGTTGGGAAATCTATCAAGGAAAATTTCTGCACTTCTGTTTTTGCCAGCTTATCTCACTTATTCAGTGCTTTGCTTATTATGTTTTGTATGTGAAGATTAATTATTTATGCTATTAAATCATCATACTTCTATTCATGCATTAGTCTTTTTGTCAAACCTCTTCATTAGATTGAAATAGAACTCTTAAATATTGAGGCATCTTTTGGTTTAACGGTGAAATTTCATTAGAAACTCAAAAGTTAGGCATGATCTCATGGGGAGTACCTTAATGTGTGAGAGTTCAATCTATCATAAATGGTAACAGTGTATAACACCAACCAAAATATGGGGATGGGTGACCACTTGAGAAGTTACACCAGTAAAACAAAATAATAAGGTCATTAAGCCAAATTAGACAACCTCCTAGGAAGTTACACCATTTGGACAAAACTGTCAACTAGGCCAAAAGCGGGCAACACTTTAACGTGTGAGAGTTCAAGCTATCATAAATGGTAACAGTGTATAACACCAACCAAAATATGATAGGTGACCTCTTGAGAAGTTGCATCAGCCAGACAAAATAGTGATGTCATTAAGCCAAATTAGACAATATCTTCATTGGTGAGACTTTAGACTGTCACACACAAGCTAATTTGAATTTAATAATTTTAGTTGCTCGGATGAGAATATTTGTTATGTGAATTATGAATTGCTTAATTTTTATGAGAAAAACCTATCCCACTTTCTTTATTTAAGTTTGAGAATTTGTACTAAAAGTGAAACTGAAAAAAAGAGTACAACAAACCCAATACTCAATAATAAAATAAAACAGTTATGTAATATCAAAGTTCTGGCGGCATTAAATTTGAAGTACAAATTGTCGTTGGAATAACAAATGGTCTATGTGGTGTCATTAATTTCATTATTTTTTTATTATATGTTTTTATTATGTTTCAAAATAAATTAATTTATTTTTAAAATCACTCAAATATTTATGCAATTAATCATATTAAATCATGTGAAACTCTTAAACTATGAGTTTAATATTACATATTAATGCAATAATAATTAAATATAATTTAATTTAATTTTAAAATTACTTATAATTATACTATTCAAAAATTAAATATTTATTAAATTAATTGATTGCTAATTATTACATTATTAAAATAATTATATTAAAAAAAAAGTAATATTAATTAATTAATAAATCAATGTTTAGTTATTAAAACTAATTATTAATTTCTAAAGTTTATTGAATTAATTAAAATTCAAGATATAATTTATTTTTATTATTTAATTATTAAATAATTACATATAAATTATGTAACTATAATTAATTTTTAGTTTTCAATCAATTAAATTAATACGAGAGTTACTAGATTCTGGATCTAAGGCAAAACGGGGGAAAGACGGGATTCAAGAACCTGTAGGATTTGTTAAAGATGCCATTTTTGTTGTTTGACAGGATTTAGGTTAAATACCGCTCAAGTCCTGCTCAAATCCCGCTAACAAACAGCCCCTCGGGGAGGGAAAAAATTTGGGTACATAAGACGCACGCAGCGCTGCGTGCGATAGCCAATCAGAGGAAGACACATCAGCTTCGTCGCCCCACCGTAATACAAATAGACCTTTTACTGTGCGTGACCCATCGACCCGACCCGTTATTGTAACCTCCATGTAATCCCGATGTAATCTCCACTGTCCACCCCCTGTAACGCGCTTGTAAGCCCTATGTAACCCCGGTGTAATATCCGCTGTCACCCCCATGTACCACACTTGTAATCCCAGTGTAATCTTGCATGTACTCTTTTTGTAAATTGCGCGTATACACTGGATGTAACCCCAGTGTAAGTTCCGCGGTAATGCCCCTGTAACTCGCATGTACTCTTTTTGTAAACCCGATGTAACCTCTGATTGGCTGTGTACACCGGATGTAACACCGGTGTAAGTTCCACGGTAACGTCCATGTAACTCCGCGGTCACTCACCTGGATGTACATCTGATGTACATATATATGTAACACCGGTGTAACCTAGAGACTGTACCATGCGTGTAATCTGAATGTAATGTCCGTGTAATGTCATCTACGTTGAATCGCCTTTGTACCCTTCGTGTAACTTCAATGTAACAACGAGTTATGCGCATGTAACCCGTTTGAACTGTGCATGTAACGTTGATATAACAGCTAGGGTTACTATTCTATTGTTCTATGCCCATTGTCTTCTGCAACGACGGCTTCCAGCAGCTTGACTTCGCGAACTTGAAGATGGAGTACGAGTCCAGAGATTGTCAGTCTGTGTATGATGTTGAAGGAGAAGATGGGAGTTATCCTGCCAGGGAAAATGAAGTGGAACTTAAATTGGAGGTGTGTTTGGAGATGTATTCTTATTATACTTCTTAAGTTCCTTATTCAATGTTGTTTGTTGTTACGACTTTCTTATTTTTGGACTTATGTTGGTAGAGTTGCATGATATTAGGTTTAATAAAAACAGTGAAATAAAGATTGAAGTAAATATTTAAAAAAAAAATTAAATCCAGGGTTTAGGTGAAGTAAAATAGTAGGTTTTATCTTTTTTTTAATTATGAGCAGTTATTATAAATTTTAGGGTTATTTTTGTGCAGCTTGGCGAGAGCAAAGGTAGTTGTACCGTGCAAACAACCAACATATTACTCCAAACAATGGTCCACAATGAGAAAGAAGCTTATGAAGTATATTGTGCTTACGCTCATCATATTGGATTTAGTGTTCGGAAGGAGCACGCTACGTTTTGGCCTAACTCCATAAATATTAGGACCAAGGACTTCGTATGTGAAAAATCAGGTTTCAAGAAAGAGCTCAAGATTACACAAACTGTTAAATACAAAAGAGCAGAAACAAGAACTGGTTGCCCTGCAATGATTCGATACGAAGTTGATAAGGAAGGCATTTGGGTAGTTAAAAAATTAATTGAATCACACAACCACTCATTAGCGAACCCTGGTGACAAACACTTGTTGCGCGTTCGAGCATAAAGATAAGCGAAGTAAATGCAGATGTTCTTAGATCTATGACACAGTTTGGGATAAGGTCGAAAGACGCGTTTAATTTTCTAGCCCAAGAAGTTGGGGGTGTAGAGAACCTAGAATGTACAAGGGCAGATTCTTTCAATTTCATTCAAAAAGAGAAGAGATCTAAAATTGAAAATGGTGATGCCAACGCTTTACTACAGTTGTTTGCAGAGAGACGTTCTGAGAATTGCATGTTTGAATGGGACTTCGAAACTGATGTGAGCGGCAGACTAATGAGTTTTCTTTTGAGCGATGGAACATCCAGGCTTGATTATGACTGCTTCGGAGATGTCATTATTTTTTATACAAGTTATAGGCTAAATAAATATAACTTATGTTGTGCTCCTATTGTTGGTGTTAACCACAATTGGCAGAATTTTCTCTTTGGAGTCGGTTTTTTGTCAGAGGAGACGGTGGACTCTTTTAAATGGATTTTTAAAACTTTCATCTATATCAAGGGTGATAATCATCCAATAACAATCTATACAGATCAGGATCAGACTATGACTAGAGCAATTGCAGAGATTTTGCCAAATACACGACATAGATTATGTCAATGGCACATATACAAGATTTAAGGGTTGCATGGTATTAGGTTTAATAAAAACAGTGAAATAAAGATTGAAGTAAATATTTAAAAAAAAATTTAAATCCAGGGTTTAGGTGAAGTAAAATAGTAGGTTTTATCTTTTTTTTAATTATGAGCAGTTATTATAAATTTTAGGGTTATTTTTGTGCAGCTTGGCGAGAGCAAAGGTAGTTGTACCGTGCAAACAACCAACATATTACTCCAAACAATGGTCCACAATGAGAAAGAAGCTTATGAAGTATATTGTGCTTACGCTCATCATATTGGATTTAGTGTTCGGAAGGAGCACGCTACGTTTTGGCCTAACTCCATAAATATTAGGACCAAGGACTTCGTATGTGAAAAATCAGGTTTCAAGAAAGAGCTCAAGATTACACAAACTGTTAAATACAAAAGAGCAGAAACAAGAACTGGTTGCCCTGCAATGATTCGATACGAAGTTGATAAGGAAGGCATTTGGGTAGTTAAAAAATTAATTGAATCACACAACCACTCATTAGCGAACCCTGGTGACAAACACTTGTTGCGCGTTCGAGCATAAAGATAAGCGAAGTAAATGCAGATGTTCTTAGATCTATGACACAGTTTGGGATAAGGTCGAAAGACGCGTTTAATTTTCTAGCCCAAGAAGTTGGGGGTGTAGAGAACCTAGAATGTACAAGGGCAGATTCTTTCAATTTCATTCAAAAAGAGAAGAGATCTAAAATTGAAAATGGTGATGCCAACGCTTTACTACAGTTGTTTGCAGAGAGACGTTCTGAGAATTGCATGTTTGAATGGGACTTCGAAACTGATGTGAGCGGCAGACTAATGAGTTTTCTTTTGAGCGATGGAACATCCAGGCTTGATTATGACTGCTTCGGAGATGTCATTATTTTTTATACAAGTTATAGGCTAAATAAATATAACTTATGTTGTGCTCCTATTGTTGGTGTTAACCACAATTGGCAGAATTTTCTCTTTGGAGTCGGTTTTTTGTCAGAGGAGACGGTGGACTCTTTTAAATGGATTTTTAAAACTTTCATCTATATCAAGGGTGATAATCATCCAATAACAATCTATACAGATCAGGATCAGACTATGACTAGAGCAATTGCAGAGATTTTGCCAAATACACGACATAGATTATGTCAATGGCACATATACAAGAAATTACCTACAACAGTTCATCGTGGGGTGGTGAATAGAAGAGTTAGTGATATTTTTTATAAATGCTTGAGCAAATGTGAGTCCGAAGAGGAATTTAATAATACATGGGAGTTGATGATTGAGACAGAAAATCTACATGACAATGTGTGGCTAAATGATTTGTACAAGATTAGACACAAGTGGTCTACTGCTTTTAATAAAGATGTTTTTGGGATGGAAATTTTATCTACACAAAGGAGTGAATCAACCAATAACATTTGTCATGGTGTC